ATTTGATTGTGTTTATCTGCAGTTAGTTACACGAATTCAGATATGGAGCTTTAATAAGTTGTACCTACACACAATTTACTTGTAATCTTGAGTTTTAAGTAATATGCATTAATAAACAGTAATTTACGCATAAAAAGTGGTTTTTAAGAGTTTTTGTCAAATGATTTATAATATAGAATATATTTTTTTAATATAATTTAATTTAAGTTTAAAAATAAAATAATTTATTTTTGGTTTAATATTATAAATTTTATAAAGATAATAATTAAGTATTCTGTTAGAATTTAATGATTATACTAATTATATTTTTATTTTGTATATTTAAAATGAGATGTTTATTCTGTATTTGATTGTGTTTATCTGCAGTTACTTACACGAATTCAGATATGGGATGAAATCGGATAGGGATGAAATCGTTTAGGGATGAACGGGTTTAAGAGTTTTTAAGAGGTTTAAGAGTTTTAGCCAAATGCTTTATAAGATAGTATAGATAATGGGTTAAAACCTCTAGCTTGGGTGTGAGTAAGGGTTGAGAGAGTAAGTCTAAGTGTATATTGATAATTGCTTTTACCATAGCAATAGAATCCCCTATGCACTCATTGCAACATTACATATAGAAATCTTCGACATTTGACGGATGTTGTTTACTTAGATGGATTTGTTTTGTACAACATAAATGTGAAAACCTTGAGTGTTGTAGATGGCTACTTTGTGCTCCTGCTAACCTTCTAAAAGTTGCAACTACATGGTAAGAACTGTAGGATCTATGCCATGCTTGCATTTATATTCCTTGTATACTGCAGTGGGCGTTTCATTTGAATTTAGAAAAGAAGGTTGTTCAAACTAGTAGTGGCGTTTATACCTATACCACAACATCTAATTTAGATGTTATAGCAAGGTTCTCTTGCACTTTCATTACTGAAATCTCAACATGAACTTGCACTCATATTCTCTTTTATTATTGTCATGTCTTGATAGATTGCTAACTCAAACTAAGATCATCCCTTCTTGTTTTAAGATCAACTTGTTGGAAATTCTCACTTTCATTATCCCTGAGGGTCGTTATTTGGTATTCTTACCATTATGACTTGTTTTTAGAAGATATGGATGAGTATGTATACTTGTGTATTCTTCTATTTGATATATCATTTTAGGTTGTCTTTCTGATACAACAAGTTTTTGGTGTTGTTGTCGGGATAAGCCAACTCAAGAGTTTCTTAATCCTTTTTAAAATTTGATTATTCTACGACCTTTGTTACTAATTTTGGTTGTATGACACGTTTGTCACACGATGAAACTTTTTACTTGAATCATGACATTGAAAGAACCTTTAGAAGAAGAAAAACCTAAAGAACTTTGTCACCCATTTTTTAAACTGGCACCATGGCATCACCTGTTTTGGACCTCAATGAAGGCTTAATCCTCAAGATGAGGAGGCACAAGACATCATTCAGATTGCAAACTCTAGAAACGGAGGCATCATGGACTATGTTATGTATGTCTTCAACTAGTTGCATCCAGGCATAGTTAGACCACAAATTGAAACTTGATGAACTCCGGGACTACGTCTTGACTTCTTGGAACATGTCTTCAGATGGTTACAAATTTTAAAACAGAATAACGACAAACAACAAATTCTATTATATTTTATTGTTTAGATTAGATCTTAACCTTATATTTTTAGTAACAATATTTAAATTTTGTATTGGTCTTCTTTTATCAACAAAGGAATTTAAAGGTGAAAATTTATGTGTTTGTATTCACCCCCTCTACAAACCACTAACTTTATAACTCTTGAAGATCCATTTAAGATCAACATATGAGTTAAAGCAAGAAGTTTCTACATCATACCAAAAGGTTAATATGAAAAGTACAAAGGTACATGAATCATTAAATCAAATGAAGACACGCGTTGAAGTTGCATTATTGCATTTAATGCATGGACTTCCATAAAAGGAGGTCTCTGGATCATATGTAACTTTCCCCTTTTGAAGAATTGCTAAGTGCATATTCTTTTAGTCCGACACCATAACTTCTGAAGACTTTCTTAATTCTTCAGATCTGAAAGAGTATCTTCTTTTCTCACCCTTTCACTGTTAGCGAATCTGTCACCAGTCAGATTATTTAGGATCACATGTCTTACCTCCTACCTTCCACGACAAATCTGTAATTTGTTTTTATACAAAATATAGAATTAGAAAGTGAAAAGCTATTGTGTTTGTATTCAATCCCTCATTTCACAAACACTTGTAGTATAAGTCCATAAATTTGCAGGGACCAACAATTTTTTTTTTCACTTTAAGTTTTGTATACATCAAAACTTTTTAAAGAATTTATAGAAATTTGTTGTTTGGATTTTACACATTTTTTTTTTGTTTTGATGATGATCGGTGGTCGGTGGTGATGAGCTAGCTTGTAAATGTTCATTTGATTCGGAAATGAGATGGCGCAACACAAGATTTCAGAGTGGTTAACGTTTTCAATTTTACAACTCATTTACAAAATATATTCCAGATCATTATAACTTTCATGTCATGTTCTTTTTAATTACTTAAAAGTTTAAGATTTAATCTTTCATACTCCAAAATAAAGATTCTAAAAGTATATAACCAAAACAAAAGTCAGACTAAATAACTTACATTTTCAAACAATTTGTCTTTCTTAAAAATATGAACCTTTTGAAACCACTTACTTTGCCTATAAAAATTGTGCTAGTACTTGTAAAAGTGTGTATCCATAGAGGTGCTTTGTAATATAATCTAAGAAATTGTTTAACAACCATAAATTAGCTTGATTTTTGAGTTAGTCTAAAAACCCTGTTTGAATAGTCATAAGTTAACTTATTGATACGCTACTTGCAGTAGCATTTTAATAAACTAAAAGAATTTTTTTCGATTTCTTTTAATTATATCCCTAATTATTATTAATTAATATTACTTTTTATTATAATTTAGATTAATAACTAAACGATATTGAATAATTAATCATTATTTAATATTAAATAATTAATTATTATTTAAAATTAAATAATCAATTGTTATTTAATACTAACTTTTTAAGATGTTTTAATTAGGGAAAACTTTTAAAAAACCTAATGGACTTTAATTAGTGTTTGAAATGATTAAGTCTGTGGACAATTTTTTTGGAACAAATAAGTCATTTGATATTCCGAAATATGTTCAATATCTGTCATTATATCATCATCTCCGAGCCTAACCATTTGCTTATTAGGGAGATGGAGTTGCAAAGCCATCACATAAGGTTGAATTTGAGAAAGCGCAAAGCTAAAAATCCGCCACATTGCCTTCGGCGGGATACATAACACGCATCTTGAAACCTTTTAATCTCATTAATAATACTTTGTCCTTTGTTTGGATCTATATGCATAATTTGTTTATCATGACCCTTGTAAATATATTTAAAGAGATATTTCACAGATGTTATACTCGAGCAAGCCTCAACATTAATATGACAGTTGAACATCATTAACAATTTTGGGTTGTACGGGACAATCCATCTATTATCCAGTGTATTGCCTCGTACATTCACATCTCTTCCAATATTTCTCCTCCGGTATAACGGATATGAGTTCTCAGCCTGTGATGTTTTATCGTTGAATTGTCTAGGATATCTAAAACGACTGATTTTCGACTCACATTGCATGCAAGGACTGGACGGTCGTAAATGACCGCAAGGACCATGCATCATGTGTTGGACAACCAACTGGTGCATTTCAGGATACTTTGCTGGGTCAGGAATTTCAGCACATACAATCTTGTCGTAATGATCTGGATTAGTCATTTTGTCATCAAGTCTCATTATCGTGAGGAAATGCGCATGTGAAAATCCACGCTTCTGAAACTCGATGACATAAACATATGCCCTGACAAAGCCGAGGATCTTCTTGTGGAAGAGTTGGTCCTTGAGATCCTCTAATTTGGCACGAAAAATTCTTGTAACAAGGTCCGGTCGATCTTGTGCAATATGACCGGGCAATAAATCTTTAAGGATTTCTGGCCATTTTGGATTACACGTCATTGTAAGGAATATATCGGGTTTTCCGTCATCTTGAACTAAAGCCATAACATCCAAAAATCGTTGCCGCATGTCACATGGGCCTCGTATAAAACTTTCAGGAAACACAACTCGTTGTCCAACTCTACTTGGTTGAACTTCACCGACATTAACGCAATCCACAATGCCTTGATATAAATCCGCTTTTATCTTGGTTTGGTTAAGTTCATAGAAACGCAAACGTGAAGTCTCGATCTTGATGTAGGTATCTACCACAAATTTTTGTAGTAATCTTCCCCCCAATAGAATCACATTATCGTTTGAACGAATCTGGAACTTGCAACAATAGTATTCCCGCATAGCTACAATATTTCTACCCCTTCTTGCATAAGTCTCAATGTAATGTTTTGAAACATTTAAACTGATGATATGTATGCTTTCAAAACTAATTAGTTACTTCATATAATATATTAACATATGCGATAGAATTTGTACCTTCAGAATCTTCCTCCACGATTTCGTTGTCATCAACAACTTCACCAATAGACACTCCATGTCTTGGAATTTTAAAATGCCACCCATACTCACCTTTTGGAAAGAACAAAGGATAAGACAATGGATCGTAACAACCGAGGTGAGATTGAATTTCTTGGCTATAGTTAGACCTCCCGTACACAACAATACTTCTCTTATATGTAGTGATTTTGTCATTGCCTTCAACCCAAATATCAGCAACCTAAAGAATGTGATTATTTAATATAGTCTATACTATGTATCATATGTGTTTATAAGATAAAAAAGAAAATGTTTTTATTCAAACCTCAGATGTAGTCGGCCGGTTGTATACCCTCTGGTCAAGTTCCACCTATGCATTTAAAGTGACTCTATAATTGTCGAGTGGTCCTAATTCTGCAAGGCTTCGAAATGTTCTCCGTATGGATTCGTAGCAAGAACAAGCGTCAAAATGTCAATGATACTTCTATCAAGATTGGGCCATTGGAGTGTATGTGAAAACTCAGACTCAGCATCATAAAAATATAACTGTAAATACCTAGGTTGTCCATCCCTTGGAACTAACTGATCAATTTTATAATATACTCCTCCATGTGCACGAAAAGTATATACACCAGATGTCATATTATTCATTGTCTCATCCAAAGTTACACCCATCGATGTGAAGGAAAAGTTCGTGTTGTATGCACGTATGTTGTGCCTAAACATTTTTCCCAATTCAGATTGTGATTTGGAGAGATTGTATAATTCTTCAGGAATGGGAGAGTATGCTAACTTTGTCTTCTCACTCACGCAGCAGAAGGAAGGGAATTCAAACTTGAATCATTTTGCTCCACAATGAGTACATGCAGGTTGTTCATTCAAAAGGCGATGTTCCTTAGGTTACACCTGTAAATATAATCGTATGGATCTTCCTCGAGGGTGTCATTTCGGTTCGATGAGTTAACAATAACCTCAGTAGAGGTTTCTACATCTAGGACATTTGAATGTAAAAATATGGTTAACATTTAAGAACTAAACTTATGTAAAAGTATAGTTATCATTAAAGAACTATATCTATGAATACAAGAAAAAAATAAATTGCATCATATATGAAGTTACGATAATACAAAATTGATGCTTAAATAAACATATTAAAGATATGGATTTTACCTGTAACATCCATCACTTCATTGTTTTCTATGGTAGTTGTCAATGTTTCAATGCTAGTATGTGGGTTACCACTTGTTGCTGTTATGTTTTTTTCTTTACATCGTAGATTATAATTTCTATTAAAAGTTCTTCTTCTTTCAGCAATGACTACTGCACTAACTGTGTTGTATCCGCTATAGCTAAATTGGTGACATGTGTTGCACTAACTGGTATGGTGTCCGTTACATTGAAATTGGTGACATGTGTTGTAGATTGACTACTTCTCTCAGCGAGGACTATTGCACTAACTGGTGTTGTATCCGCTGCAGCTAAATTGGTTATAGGTGTTGTACAAACTGGTATGGTGTCCGTTGCAGTAAAATTGGTGACATGTGTTGTAGATTGACTACTTCCTTCGCAGTTAGCTAATTTTCGCCTTTTGTTAATATCCTTATGTCGTGCATAGTAGTGTCGATTGTATTGTTTTTGTTTTTTTGTAAGAATATGATTTTCCATGAAATGTATATTATAAATGAGTATATAACAAATACGTAAATAATATAAAGTTAGTTCATTTCTATATACTACACATACCTTTCTTCAAATCTAGATCAACTTGTGTAACAATACCATTGTCACCTTCATCGTCTACATCCTCATTAACAATCCTCATTTTACACTGTAAATATACATAAAATGAATAAAATATAATTTTTCGTTTATCATTATTCGTTATTTGGATGTTAAAAAAAATATCATTATCATCATCAAATGCAATCAAAGCATATATATATATATATATATATATATATATATATAAAGACAACAAATACCAAATATCATCACCAAATGTAATCATATCAAATACAAAATAAAGGTCATTACCTGTTAGACCACAGCTTGTGAAAGTGTAAGTAAGAAGTCTCCTACTCTAGTCGAATATGACTTAGTCTAATTGAAGCAGTCTGGACTAAGAGCTCTCATGTAGAAGATCAAGAACCAGAGCACTTACTCAAGAGTGAAGGTTCAATTCATACAGAGCTCGCGCTCTATCCCCGTGGACGCTCAAGCCTTGTGCGCCAACAAGCATAAGTGCTTGACTTCAAGCTACAACTCCAAGACCCAGAGCCTTTGCACAGTACATGCAGAGCTTCTGCATATGTAGAGCCTCTGCATAGTACATGCAAAACTTCTGTATATTCATGCTGAGCTTTTGGCTACCTTCTCCATGGAACGGGCGCGTGTTATCCCAGACTTTCTCACAAGCGGCTAACAGATTTAAGGCGGCTTGACGAAGTCTGCTCCGCTATTCAAGGGAAGTCAAAGATAAGGATGCAGACCAGTCAGCTCAGAGTTTCACGCCTATTATATAGCATAGTTTGTTAGTCCTAGGCGTATATAAGGAGGCTTCCTCCTCAGGTTTATAGTACCTGAAGAAACCGACTTAAACTATAAGCGTTTTTCTGTGAGATTACATTTGTGCTTTCATCGTTCATCTTTTATCAATAAAAGCATTCGGCATATTCAAGTTCATTCACTGTTTTACTTTCATCTTTGAATATTCTGATTAATCATTTGAAATACATTGCTTGTTCTTAATTCTTATCTTACATAAACTGTGTTTCTGTCTATTAAGAGTATTTGGGTTCAACAATTGGTGTCAGAGCCTGCTAATCAAATTCATTGATTAGTCGATCGATATCCGACTGGATTCTACTCTTAATTTTTTATTATTCATTTTTAAAAGAATCGTTACTCTTATTTCTCTCGATTTTAAAAATGTTTGCATTTACGTAATCTGGAAATCATTTTTCAGTCAATTAATCTTTCTCGTCAAAGTTTTCTTCTCAAAATTTTAATCTAAAATGTCATCTTCTCAATCATGGAACTCCATGTATAGTGCCGGTTCCTTGACAAAAGCTCCGACTCTCATTAGGGAAGAATATCCCCAATGGAAGATCTGGATGATAAACTTTTATGAGGGTCTTGACCTAGAACTTTATGAGTCAATCTTAAATGGCCCATATGTCCCTACGACCATCATACCTCAGATTCCCGCTGCTGGTGATACAGTTGAGGTACCTGCCAGGCGAGTACCCAAACTTCATCGTGACTGGAACGATGAAGATAAACGAAGAGTGGAAGTGGATCAAAAGGCCAAAAGACTTTTGATTATGGCGCTTCCCAATGAAATTTTCCAGTCACTCGACGCGTGCGACTCAGCTAAGGATTTGTGGGATCAACTGGCTAACCAGTTGGAAGGAGGCATCAAGATGAAGAAGAATCGTCGTGTCCAATGCCTAAATGAACACAATAGCTTCCAGGCACTCCCCGATGAGTCTTTAGAACAGACTTATCATCGCTTCAACACTCTGATCAACAAATATCGCATATGTGACGTGATCAGAACTCAAGAGGAGAACAACATGCTCCTCTTGAAGAGATTGAATGTAGAATTGGGAAATCTGACGATGTCTCTCCAGGCAAACCAAGATCTGGAGCAATGGATACTGCACGATGTGTACGGGACTCTGCAGGCTCAGAACAAGAGGTGCAGAAGGCAAAGGTCGCTCCAGGTGGACCTCTGGCTCTTGTCTTTGAATCAAAAGAGACAGGATCAAGCCAACCACACAGAGAACGACGACCCAGAGAAGAGAGAAGAAAGGGAAAGAAGGCTCTCATCTTGGAGAGTGATGATGAAGAAGACAGAGCTTCTAGCTCTAAAGACGATGACATCAACGCCTTTGCGAAATCCTTGGCCCTGATCACCAAGGAATTCCAAAGGAAATTTGGGAAGAAGGTCTTCGACAGAAGAGGAAGACAAAATGATCGAAGCAGAGGCAAATCTTAAGGAAGGAACCCTCCTTCTGTTTCCAACAAGATGGAGGAAGAGCCGTCGGACCAGAAGAAGTAAGGTGTCCGATGCTTTAGATGCGGGAAGATGGGGCACTACTCCAAAGAGTGCAGAGGCCCCTTAGTGAAAGACGAATTGTACTATAAAAATAAGTACAAGTTTAATCGAAGCAAAGGAGCCTCATGGCAGAACAGGAGAATTGGGTCTCTGACTCCTCGTCTGAAGAAGAAGACCAAACAAACTTCTGTGGGATGGCTGTCGAGAATGACAGTGAAGAGTTTGGATCTGACTCCGACTCCCAGGTATGTTCTATCTCTGGTTATTCTCACTCTGACCTGGAAGAGAGCATCTCTGCTTTGACTAACGATTTCGTCAATCTACAACAAAAGCTCTCTCTCGAAAAATCCAAAAGAAAATCCTTGAAAAAGGAAAAACTATTTTATGAACGAGAGACAGAGCTGTTACCTGTAGAGAAACAAGAGTTATCAGTGGAAAATGAAAAGCTTTTACAAACAAAACAATCCACTGAAACAAGTCTTAAAATAGAATGCTTAGAATTAAAAGCGGCTATTAAGAAGAAAGAAACAGAGCTTCTAGAGAAAGAAAGAGACAGATTAAACTCTGAGGCCCTAAAAGATTATTTTCAAAAGGAAAGGGAGTTCCTACACCAGAGCTTACAAAGAAAAGAGCTCTAGATTAAGAAATATCAAGATGCTCAGTAGGTGTACGAAAAAGTCAATTCTCAACAGGATAAAGCAGGGTTAGGTTATATAGACCTAGACCTCACCTGGAAGAAGAAAAATACTCTTGAATTTGTGTTTAGGTTGGGCGAAAAATAGAAACCAGGTTTTCCTATTTTGTA